GCGCGGAAAGCGACGACGCGTCCCAGGCTCGCCGTGCATTACATTTGCGCAGCTGAACGTCCGCGTCTCCGATTGCATTTGCGCTCGCGAACTTGACGTTTCGCCGTGTAAACAAGCGGTAAAGCGACACTTGATTAGGTCGGCGAAAACAATCGCGCGTTTCCCGCGGCGGCGCACACTTGTGTGATTCGAAAGCTAAGGTTACCGGGAATCGCGACTGCTCACCGAGATACGGCCGCGTCGGCTTAGTCGAGCGCTGGAGGACAATCGACTGACCTTAAAATCCCGTCCGTCGCTGCGTTATCGGTGCGTCAGCAAGAAACAGAACGAAATCCTTTCGTGCGATCGTCTCCCCCGAAACAGGACAGCGTCGGGTCGACGTGTCACGCACCAAGCGGACGTAAGAAGCTCGCTCGTGTTCTCTCCCTCGCTCCAAACGGAAACGCCTTCACCTGCAATCACAGTCCAAATTCTAATTGGATTATCGAGTGTCGAGCCCCTCCGAGCCCCGCCGTCAAATCGCTCGTTTCGGTCGAATTGCGGATAAGCGAAGCCGAACGATCGTTCTTTCGAGGCAAGAAGAGCGCCAAAGGATCGTCGGACAGAGGCGTCGATTCTCCACGAGTCGTGAATAACAATCGTAAGTGGCGTGCAGTTAGGCGGAGAAAAATGATTACCCAGAGCTATAGTTCATTCACGGCAATCGCGCGCTCATCATAATACCTCTTCGCTAAATAGCCCCTCTCCTTTGCGTCTATGCACGTCCGATCGATGGCGAGGCGTGCATAAAGCGCGGACAGCGGTCGCTCCGCGATACGCGCGCGCGCGGCTCCGATTCGGGAGCGGACTTTTTTCTTTCTCTTTTCTTTATCGCCAATTCGAAGATCGTCTGCACTGTTTACGGCGACAGCTGACTCGGCTACATTCCGGCGTGAAAGGCCGATAACGGCTCTTCCTTCGTCAGTGAAATCCGAGCCGGATTTTCGTCGATCGGAGGAGGGAGACGAGAGTGGAGAAGCAGAAAGCGCGCCGAAAATCAAGCGATTGCTCGTCCGGGCAGCGAGCGGCGCGCTGCGGTCACGCACTCGTTCGTGCAGCGCATCTTATCGTTTGCGCGCTGCGGTTGTTCGGCTGCTCGAGCCTAACTGGCCCTCTCGCGCTGGTCCGGCCTCGTCGCCGAGGCGCGCCGGGATGTCATTTGTGCCGCCGAGAGGGCGCCTGGCTCGCGCCGAAAAAACACGAGCGACGGTCGCGCGCGCCGCCGCGCTTCTTGTTTACGCTTCTCGCGAGAGAGGCGAGAATCAATCGCCGGCGGCGGACCTCGCGATCGCGCGCGAGCGCCTGCTTTCACCCGCGAGAGCGAGAGGGCAGATCTATCTCGGTTACGTCGCAATTGTTTATTGCGCAATTGCCGGCGAAAGGAAGTGCGCGCGCACGCGCGCATCGGAAACTCGGGGGGAAAGCCAATTTTTGCGCGCGACGCGCGGTGAAGACGGCGAAAGCGAGGGCAGTGCCTGTTAATTATGTGGTACGTATAATAAGCCGGTGAAAAATGAATTGCGTTTCTCGGGAAATGCGCCGCCAGTGTACATCGGCTTTTAGCTTAAAAGCTTTCGAGATGAAGTAACGCGTTGCGTTTCAGCAGGTTTGCATAATCTACCGGGCGCGCGACCTCTTCCTCCCTTCAGCGGGCTCATGGAAAAATTAATGGGCTGTCCGAACAGCCTCAACGTAAGCAGTGCCGGCTTGCGAGTCCGAGCGACGCGTAGCTTGCGCCAATTTCGACGCGACTACGTACGCGAGGGAGGCAGTGGTGGGTCCAAGCACGCGATCCGAGCGGGAGGCTAACGAGTAATCGTTGTTTCGGGGCCAGATTGCGGAGGATCGTGCGGCGGAAGAAACAAGTATTACGTGTTCATGTCAGCCCAAGTGCGCCAACGGGTAGAGTCGAGCCGGAGAGTCGTCCACCTGTAACAGCAGAAAGCAGAAAAAGGCAAATGTATAAACGTCGCCGATGGAAACAAACAAATAATGCGCACCATTAGCCGGCGCGCGAGACGGCTGTACATATGCACACGCTCGGCCGATTACCACCTCCGAACAAGACAACAATGCCACTCAGCCGCGCGCTAAACGAGGACAAAGAGTAACGCTCCCCGCCCTGTCTATATTCTCGCGGGCACGTAGCGTATGCAGGTCGCGCGCGCGCGCAATTAAAGCGACGACAAGCGACCGGCAAAAACGGCCCACTCTTTTCCCTCTCTCTTCGGCCGGGATCGCACGCTCCGGAACGTTGTTCCGCGCAAACATGCCAATATCGCCTCGGAAGATTATTATCTTATCGGCGCGCGCGAGGCTTCTAAAAAGCACTCGGGTCGATGAGCAAACACGGCGCGCTGTCTGTCGGCGGAGAGCGCGCGCGATTTACGACGGCGTCCACTCGCCGAGGAGAGGATTCACCGAGTCGCAACGGGCGTCTGATTCGCGTTTCGCGCGCAAAAATTGAAAGCTCACCAGATTATCGCTCGTAAAAGCCCTGGCGAGCTGCCGTTCGGTCTTAAAACTGCACGCTCGCGTTTCTCTCTCTACCTCTCAGGGCTATTATTTCGCGTCGACGACTCTAACACCTGCTTATCGATTGCGTGCGGCGCGTTATAACCGGCAAGCTTTAAAGTTGTAATCGAGCGACGACGAACGATAAAGCTCTCTCGGTGAATTATGTCATTTGAAGCTTAAGGCTGTGCACGCCCGTTTGAAAAATTAACGACCTCGGTGTTTCCAGCGCTGCACGTTAGAATTCGTCGGCAGTGCGCGTATGTGTGCGCTGTGCAAACATGCCGATTGCCGCACTGCGCGCTAGTAAATATTATTGTTGTCGTCGCGCGCGGAAAATGTTATCCCAATGGAAACTAAATGAATGTCAAGCGCAAGAGGGTTGGGAAGAGAAGGATGAGGGACGCACGTGCGACTGCGCAACGAGACGGACCTCGGTGTTCAAATGTCATCATCTCGAAGCGCGAGAACGAATCTAATTAGGATCACGCGTGGCGCTCTAATAAAATTGAACGCGCGCGGCTTTGAAAGTAAAACGGCCGGAGAGCGCGGGGGAGGGGGGGGGGGAGGGGGAGGAGACAGAGAGAACGCACACGCGTGTCGTGCTTTTGTTCTTTCGGAGTTTCTTTGACGTGCCTACAAAGCGCTTGATCCGACGCAATACACTTTACTCCTTCGCTCGTGCATAATTGCACCGTGTGTGTACTCGTAACTGCTCTTTGTTCCGCGAACACGAGCTCTCAATTATGAATTTCAGAGCTCGTTTGGCAGGATTTCTTCATCAAAACCGCGTTTGCGGTGAGCTTCGATAAACACACGCGTGGCATGAATAGACATCGAGTTTGTGCGATCGATAGAGACGAGGAGGAGGTGGTGGCCGGTCGATTGTATTGCCACTCTAGAGAGAGGCAGAGTCGGTCTGTGCATTCGCAGGGCTTGCACGATTAAGTATGTTGCCGAGAGTTTCGACTGTTAGCCTCCTGCCTCCTCCTGCTAGGAAATTCGGTTGCCAACGCGTTAACCTCCATTAGCCGCGATAGGTTAATCAGCCTCTGTACGTTTGTCGATCTTGGTCTGTTTGATGGACTCGGCGCATACAGTCACGCCCTGCACTGTTCAAATTGGCACTGGGATTATCGCTGCTAATGCAGTTTTGTATTTTGAGGAATGAGAGAGACTAGCTAGCATATACAGAGCATTCACGTCACACAGGCGTCCAATCTTCGTGGCAGTCGATTGATAGATCGACGTAGCTCCGACGTGCGCCCGTGTATAACATTCAACCCTCGAGGGAGAGAGAGGTAAGCAAACCAACGTAAAGTTAGCAAAACTGTTCGACTAACTTTTTTTCATCGAAATTTAATTACACGCGAGTCTGTTGATTTTAATTACTGGGCGGCGTGCTGTGTGATTTACTCTTCAGCGGGCGAGTCAATAGAGATAGAAGAAAAAAGAATAAGAGCAAACAAGGATGAAGAACGCGCTGTTCAATAAAGTTAAAAGGGTTTAATTAGGCCGAGCCAGACGCAATACAAATAATTGTCGTTCTATTTTTTCCTCTCCTTTTTTTCCCCTCTATCTCGACGTTTGCTTTACATCAACCTCGTTTCTCCAATATTGCATTCGTCGTTATTAAGCTGCGAGGGAGAAGCCGTCCTTTTTAGAAAGAGCGCTCGCGGCGTCCTTCGTCGCTGTTGCCAAGGTGGCGCATTCTGGCCTGCGTTTTCTTGCTCGCCTCCCCCCGCCCCCTCCCCTCCCCGCCTTTTGCCCCTTTTGCATTTCGCACGCGACACTGCGCCGCTCTTCTCTTTTCAAATCGCAGTATCCAAGTGGTGGAACATTCTCACCAACATTCGCCGTGAACGGGGTTATTCGAAATATTCCCCTTCGCTGAAACGCTCCGAGCGTTCTGTGCGTGCTTCCAGAGCATCTGCGGGAGTGCAATAAATTGTTTGCCGTTGAAGCTGAAAGGTTTCAATTTGATACCCACAGTCAAAGAGTCGACCTGTGCCTTGTCTTTAGACAGCAGATCAGTGAGCAAGTCCATAGCAACAAAGGCGGCGACCTAATGACGCCAGACGTAGAAAAGTACACAATAGATGCTCGAAAACGATAAGCGAGAGAGGCGGTTACTCAAGTCGGCGCGCAAAGGGTGTGTGCGTGCGCGCGCGTGTGTGGCGATACAATGCCCACGCCTCTCACGGGATTGTCGCCGGCGCCGCCGCAATTTCCCAATCGCGAAACAACTTGCCTGCCGCACACGATCTAGGACACCGATGCTTTGCAATTAGTGATCATTTTCAAATGCTCGTCAGCGGACGGGTGCAGGATTTAGCCTTGTTCCACATCTCAAGCAACGGAACACAAAGGATTTACTAGTTTGATAGGTCAGTGAAATAATTATAACAGGGCGTTAGTATTTTCGTTAAAAAAAAAGTTTTCTTTCGGAAGGCTTACAATTGTTTACAATTGTTTACAATTGTTAAAGGCACGAGGGCTCAATTACAACAAGTTGGATAAAAATACAATTGTCAAACGTATGAAAAATAATAGCTTTGAAAAAGCTATGCGTTTGTAAAATCATTATTCTTCTAAAAATAGTGCGATATTCATTGCTTGGTTAGTATAAATCTTCGTAAACTTCATCGCTTCGTCAGTACAAGTCTTTTTTATAAAATTTACTCATTAAGAGGTATAATTCGCAGGCACATAAAAAATCTACAATTGAAATTTCCTAGCAAGATTAATACGAGTCAAGTCAAAAGATCAAAAATTCAACAATTTCAAAAAATAAATCAACGTAATATTTCTCAAAAAAAAAATGACAATTAAAAAGAAAGGAAGAAAAAAGACAAAGAAAAGGTATAATCTAGAGGTTGGTCGTTCTATTCCGTCTCGTCATCGTCCGCCGGTTCGACTTTGATGTCGACATCGGGATCGAGCGTTGGCTCAACTTTGATGGTGATGTTAACAGTCTCGGCGTCCTTCATGATGGGCTCGGCCGAAGTTTTGCGAGCGGCCGCAGCTTTGTATCTTCTGGTGGGCAAGAGCTTGGCGAGGTCGGGGTCTGCCTGGAATTTGGCGCAGTTGCGGGTATGCACCTTCATGTTGTCCTGTCTGTTGAAGCCTTTATGACAGCCGGGACACTTGTGTCTGCGCACGAAAATAAAGCGTGAGACGGGCGAGAAGGAGAGGGGAGGGGGTGGTCGGCTGACCGTTTCTCGTCGTGCACGGCCATGTGCGTGGTGAGGTGGGTCCTCTGGGCGAAGGTCTTAGCGCAGATCTCGCACTTGTACTTGCGGATGCCCTGGTGCTTGAGAATGTGATCCTGCAGCATCGATCCGTTCTTGTAGACGTTCGGGCAGATGGGACACTGGTGCCTGCCGTCCGAGTGCACTTGCTGCTCGCAGGCAAAAGCGTTTACAAGCAGGCGCGCGCGAGCGCGAGGGGGGCGGGTGGGCACTTACGTATACGTGGTTGTGCAGGGCCTTCCTGGTGGTGCATCTCTTGGCGCAGACCTCGCAGACGTAGTCTTTGGTGTGCACATTGGCGTGGTGGCGGCGCAGCGCCTTCTCCGTGCTGACGTAGGCCAAGCAGATGTCGCACTTGATCGCGTTGGACTCCTCGTGGGTGTTGCGGTGGGCGCGCATCTTTTTGGTCGAATAGAAGCCACGGCCGCAGATGTCGCACAGCACGTCCTGCTCTCACAAGGGCATATAGCACCTCGCTGTAATAGCTCTCTCGCGGCTCGCCGGCGCGCCATACCTTCTCGGCCTTGTGCTTGGTCAGGTGGGCCACGAGCACGCGCTTGTTCAGGCAGCCGAAGTCGCAGTAGTCGCAGCGATACGGCTGCGCGCTCGAGTGTGCGAGCATGTGCTCCTTGAGCAGCACCGCCACCGAGTAGCGCTTGTCGCACTGCTCGCACTTGAAGGGCTTGAGCTTCAGGTGGAACTTGCGCACGTGGCCGCGGATGCTCGTCACCGTCAACGTCTTGAAGTCGCACGCGTGGCACACGTACGGCAGCATGTCGAAGTGGCGCCACACGTGCACCTGGCCGCACGCCGTTCTCGCGTCAGTTCCCGCCGCCAGCCAAACAACAAATAAGTAAAGGTCCACCTACTTGACACTTGTCCAGGCGTGGATAGGCGCTCTGGCAGAGCTTGCAGCGGTATGTCTTGTCGCCGCCCACCGAGATGGCCTTCTTCACTTTGCGCTTGTCCACGAAGCTCAGATCCAGATAGTAGTAAGTCTCGATCTTACGCCTCTCCTCTTCGCTGATCAGCTCGTTCACTCTTTTAGTCGGCTCTTGCCTCTTCTCTTCCGCGCTCGTCGCCGGCGCTGCCTCTTTTCTCAGCGCGCTCCTGCGTCTCGTCGTCGTCGACGTCACCGACGTCGACGTCGTCGTCGCCGTCTTGGTCGCTGCGTTCGCTGCGTTCGCGGCGCTCACGGCGCTTGTCTTTTTTCTCGGACGGCCGCGTTTCTTCCTGCTACCTTGCTTTGACACACTCTCGTCACTTGTCTCCATTGTCGCAATGCTCGCGCGACCACTTGCCACTTCGCCTGTTTTCATTTAATAAATTGATTGCTTTGAGTCTCGGTTAATTCTTTGAGGCACCACTTTAACTGTTGTTTCAAAATAAAAGATCATTCGCGAAATCGATAACTAAAAATAACATGGAAAAACGCTTTCTTTCGAGAGCACTGTCAAATGTCCAAAGCCACCTCGGACGTCGATAAAACAAAACGACGTCGCGGCGGCGGCGGCGGCGGCGGCGGCGGCGGCGGCCCTCGGGAGAAGGGCCGCGCGCGCAGACGGAATTAACAAAGAACCGTTGCTGCAGCGTCACAGAGGCAGAGCGTCGCCAACGTAAAATGGCGCGTCCAAGGATTAGGGGGACTCCTCACAGAGACCGCGGATCAACGTCCTCCTCCTTTTCTTTTTCATTAGCAAAATTCAATCTCGAGTCGAGCAGCTTCTGCGTTTTAATGCGCACCAAGTCGCAAAGCAACGGCCCTTCTCCCCGTCGTTGCTTTGCGACGACCCCGCAATTTCGCTTTCGACTCGAAATTAAGAATGAGATTGCTAATTAGCTCGCGAAACGGAGTAATCGACATTCCTCCGATGACGAGTGTGCGCGTTGGGATGAAAAAAAAAATAAATAAATGAAGAGCAGAAGGAAAACGGCATGAGCGAAACCGACACAAACGCCCTTGCCGGATGCACCGCGCCAATTACGGGCGACACATTGTGCAGCCGGCGCATCGAAACGTATTTCGTTTGCGCGCATGCATACGGCTCTTTTCGTTTGTCGGAAGAAACGAATGATATGCGCTAATTTTTCACGTTTTTTTTCTCTTTTTTTTTTATTGCAGTTCGTACTCTCTGTTGGCAATTTCTCTTGAATTGTTACTTGAAAAATTTATGATTTGAGGCTCGCTCAAAGTTTCATGAATTGTCGCGGCAAGTATAATTTAAAAAAAGTATCACAGTGGAAAATTGCTCTAACATTTCTGAAAATAATATACTTTCACTCGTCGTTAAGGTGTATTCTACGTACTCCACGGAAGCAGTGCTTTAACTGAACATTTTAACATTATAACTCATTCAGTAATTACGCAAGATTTTATAACAGTTTCACGGATTTTTTTTTTTCGAGGACTGTGGAAAATTTTCAAGACAAAGTCTTGTGAGGTCGATTAGTTTGGAACTTGGAAAGGAGACTTGCGAAACCTTGGAGAAATTTCCGAGGTTATTTTTCGAAGCTTCTACTCCTGACTTTTATTGATGAGATTTGAAAAAGAATGATCTTACCGTTTCAGCGTGACTTCTAAATGAAATTTCACAACAGTCGTCGTTATCCGAATCTATGACATAAATTTGATCAAACTCTTGAAATAATTTACCGAGTCGGCTAGATTAAAATTTATTCAATTGAAATAACATGTAGATTGTTGTTAAGCTTTAACAGCAGTAGGTACTTTGCAAGTGACATTCGGGAGCAGTCGACGAATCGGTCTCGCGTACGAATCGTTATGGAAGCTTAGCTTTGGTCGCTTGCAACTTGTTACCCAACTGGCCGTCAACCTAGAGCTGAAATATTGTATAATGCACGGCAAAGGAAACGAAAATTCGGTAATTTTCAGAAGTTTGACTGTCTGAAAATTGCATTGTTGGTCGCGCGTCAGTCCGGACTAGCCAGACTACTGATAAAGCGAATCACTAAAGCAAAGGTTTGGCAAGAGGAAAAAAGCATTGCGAGGTGAAATGCAGGCGCGAGCGCTCCCAAAATCCCAAGAGTGGCTTGTCGAGCGAAATAAATTATAGGCACAGCCGCCGATAAAAACACACGCACACACATCCACATCCTTTTATGAGCGCAGCGCAAGCAAGCGGGGAACGCAGTACAGGTATAATATATAATAGGCGCAGTGTACAAAAGAGAAGGGGAAGTGGAATGACCAAAATGCTGCTGTACAATAAAGTAAGTGAGAGGGCGTACGGGAGAGCTGGCTTTATTCGGAAAGGCCATGTAGGCGCACGGTGGGCGCGCCCCGCGGAAAAGTCGCAGACACACAAACATGCGCGGAGAAAGTTACGTGCGCGTGCAGAGCGTTACGAGAGACGCCGTGGCTGCAGCGGCGAGAGCTTATCGATTGATTTATAAGGCTCGTTAGCCGGTCAACCAGACCGTGGGATTCGAGTTTTCGGCCTCGCGTTCGCTTCTAAAACTGGCGCCTCCCCTTGGCTCGCCGAAGGCTCCGCTTGCAATCATCAATTGTTCGACTGCGTCGCGCATCTCGACGAATGTAAGTGCACTCGAGTCTCGCCAGAGAGAGAGAAAAGTTTCGTTCTCTTGGAAGCAGCTTTTCGCGCGAGCTATTTTCGCCTCCGAGTTCTTTCTCTCCGACACTCGAGTGTTCAACAGTGCGAAGGCACGGCTCTAAGTTCAAGTCAATCTCCAGCTAAACAAGCTTCAAAGAAAGTACATAGTCGCGACGTTTACTCCGCGATAAATCCAATTCTCTTGATTTTCTCGGCGACCAGAGAGGCCATTGCTCGTATTGCTGATCGCAGATTCGCTGAAGAGTTGTCAGCTAATGGCCGAAAGGAGGCGTTCCAACGCGGAAAAGCCGAGAGACGATGAGGAAATCGCCCCAAGTAATTAAGCGAAGAATCGGATGGCCGCGAGCGATCAGGCAGAAAGTGAATCCCAACTCCGTTTCCCAAGGGCCGTCCTCGCGCGTGCAGATACCAAGATTGCAGCAAGAACAAAGAGAGAGGAGGGAGCCGGGGGGACGAAAGAACGAAATCCCGCGCGGAAAACACGACCAAGCCCTCGGGATATAAAGGTCTAACCGTCGCCATTATCATCATCGCGATCTTATTGCTCAACCAAACTCGAGCCAAAAAATGAGGGGGGGGGGGGGGGATTTCACTTTCGCGCATCGAAACTGCCGTGGTTGAAGGTATACAGTGTGACTTCAGCTCTGCGAGTTTTTCTCGGAGTTTGCACTCGCTCTCCGCCCCCCCCTCCCACCCGCGCCGTGGTAACGTAATCGCCGACGCGAAAAAGCACTCGAGAGAGAGCGGGCACTCGATATATAGCTTTTCGCGTGCTGAACGAGCACTGAAACTTTAATTCCTCGTTCCTAATGTAGCTAATTAATACACTTTTGATGTGGTCATGATAATTTTCATGAAAATTGCAGTTAATTTTCTTACGACTGTTTGCCGTTCCACTTCGCGCGATTTTTCTCTCCCTCTGTTTTTTCATTCATTGATTTTGCCTCAGCGATACACGGCTATTGCAACGTGCAACAACTTGATGCGAAATCCAGGTCGCAAATAATAACGAACGCCGCGTTATGTCGAGCGAGCGAATTATCTGGCGCTCGCCGCAAAATAACATTCGGCTGTCATAGCGATGGAAAGCATCGTTTCGTAATATTTGTTTGCGGGTTTGCGCGCGTGCAAAATGCCGCGAGTGCGCGCGCACGGGTCGTGGGTGCGCTGTTGCTGTTTCCTCTCGACGCAACGTGCGCACGAGAGGCCGTTCGACGCACACGCCCCGAAGGCACGATGACTAGAATACGAATTCGCGATTGAACAAACGGCGGCGTTGGAGAGATCGCGGATGAACAACTTTTATTTGCGTTCTTCATCCCGCTGCCGTTCTTTTTTGTGAATTTTGTCCCCCGTAATCGCCGAGCATGAAGAGCTCAGCATTGAGAGACAGAGAGATAGAGAGAGAGAGAGGAGAGAGAGGAGAGAGAGGAGAGAGAGGAGAGAGAGAAAGAGAGAGGCATTGCCGCTACTCGTGGAGGAAAAATCCGATAAGTCGGTGATCGGTTTCGTATATATCAAAGCGCGCATATCCTATACATTTGTGTCCATATACCTTTCTTCCTTGAAAAAAAGAGGCAAAGAAGATAAAACAAAAAGCATTAAAGGAGAAATGGTAGCAAGTTTATTGAGATTCATTTCGTCTTCTCTTATTTAACGCTGCCGTTATTTACCGCTCCGATAAGGCCTTTTCTCTACTTTGTTATAATGTGGGTCGTGTCCGTTATTTATCGAGTAGCATTACGCTCCTCTCTCAAGTCGAGGATATTGCTTTGTAATAGGCTCTTGCGAGGCAGCAACTTTTCGAAGCGTTTGGCTCTCGGCGGCTGCTTCGACGATAGAACTTTCGACTCGCCCCTCGCTCGGTTTCGTCAACGTTATTTTACTCGCAATTGGATTTGCTTCGAGCTGAATTATACGTACTTATGTGTAGCACTAGTGGTATCGAGCCACGCGTTGCGCAGCGTTCAAAAGCTTGTGCTTACCTGCAACAAACAAAAGAGAGAGAGATAGACAATTAGCGTACGCATTATTACAAGAGTGATTGAACCGAGGCTTGTGAAACGTCAGTGCCTGTCCAAGCGCAGTCACGCGGCGGCGATTTCGTCCTAACCTTGTTGTGTCTAAGACACGACTGACTTTGCACAAACCATTATCAAAAGCACGTTTCACGAGCGGACTTTTCGCCAACAGGACCGTGTCACAACAGGTCGCCGCGCCGTTGTGACAAGTAGCTCAGCGAATTGACGAATCTCGCGCTCGCGAAACCGTATGAGCCGAGAGCGAGAGAGAAAGGAAAGCATGCCAAGGTGAGGGGCTACAACCTTCGGGGTCGGAGAATATGGTTAACGTATCGTGCGCGTTAGTCAGCAGCCGGCGTGGAACGCGCTCGACTTCTGCTCGACCTGACTCACTGGATCGGACTTTTGGACGTGCGCGACTCGCCTCGCGCGGAAAAGAATCGACTCCCGAAGCGAGCCTCGCTGGGACGCGGGCTTCTACTTTTTTCACGCCCCGTGCATTTTCCCCGGTTCGCTGACCTAATTGAAAGCAAACAGCTCGTGCGTTTCCTTTGTTCTTTCTTCGACTCGCGCAGCACTCGCGGAGGAAGGAGCTTGGGCGCGAGAGGCGCGAGAGGCGCGGGAGGCGCGGCGCGGCACCGGCGGCAACTGCCGCACCTCCGGAGGGCTTTCCGTGCGCGAAACTCTTTAAACTTCAAGACGCGTCCGCGCCGCGTCACCTCAGAAAAATACCAAATCAAACAAAACGAAATAAAAAATAAAAGCCTTCGGCTACCTGCCTCCGTTCTACCGTTAAATCTATCTTA